AGGAGAGGCCATGAGGCTTATTGTAAATATATCGATACTGGCATACCTTTCGTTTGTTTTTGAGAAGGCGGGTTAAAGGGATACGTAGACTGGCCGCACCAGATACCAAATGAGGGTTGCCTTGTAATTTTGTTTGTTGCATTGTGCGAAGAAGACCTCGACCCAGCGTCCTACGACCCCGATGAATCAGTGCTGAGTTTTCGTCCGTAATGTCACGGACATCGTCAGAGCCAGAAACCATTATTCACGAACAAGCACCAAAACGCCTAAACCAAGAAAGTTGGTCAGCTGAGATCATACTTGCTTCTTATGCCTCACTGCGATTTTAATGACGCATCCCATACTTTGAATAGCTGCATAAGCTTGACCTACATGCCTACATTATTTGAGACAAAACAATGTATTAGACAACTCTTTGTCCAGGTTACTAAAGCTACCATCCTGCAAGCTTTCATGAAAGATATGCGAATCACTAAGGAAATGGAGCGGCAAGATAATGTATAAAGAAACAATAACGCTTTCCGCGATCATGTCTTGCTCTAGATAATATTCAGACGCCCTCTGCAGATCAGGTTGTTGTAAGGTTTTTTGCTCATGTGGGGGAGACTTGTCGACCCATACAGAAGAGGCTGTCAGAACACAGAAACGTCAGCAAAGGTTCATGGATTCAGAAATCGGAAGTGGCTGAACATGTGGTTGCCACAGGACACCAGCTAGATTGGTCGAAATCCCAACGTTTTGCCAGATAAAGGGACTTCACAGCTAAGCGGAAGATCGGGTAATCAATCTAAGTTAACAAAACAAACAACATTCTGAATAAAAGGAAAATTATGTAGGAAACTAGGAAAGAACTACCTCTGGCTGCTGAATAGAATTAGGAGAGAGAAAAAGAAATGGAATATGAAGAGCCACTGAGCAAGAGAAGACTTGACCAAAATTGAGTCTGTTTTTATTCATAAAATTGCCAACCCTCTCGTGGTTGTTGCATACACACACAAGGACGCCTCCACGAAGTTCTAACAAGACCCAGAATTACAGAAACATATGCTAATTTATGTACACAGACAAAAATGTGACCACATCAGCTCCTCTTCCTGCAACACTTTGACCCGTTAACATGTATGTAGGACAAGAAAAAAACGCCCAACCAAATAATGGAATGGCTCATTAAGATCGCAAAGTGAGATATAAGAAGTAAGTGGGATCTCAGCTGTCCACCTTTCTTGGTTCTGGCTTTTTCGTGATTATTTGTGAATAATAGTTTCTGACTTTGAACGAAAGCTCAGCACGGGATCGTAGGACGGTGAGCCGAGGCCTTCTTGGCACAATATTCTTCGATATCCGGTGAGGCAAATATACTAATCCCTTCCCTCCGCCTTCTCAAACCAAATGAAAGATAGTCCGTATCAATATAATAAAAGATTCTTTGAAACCCAGCTTTTCTTCGTATTATTGCAACTAAGGCATCTAATAATGCTGTTATTTTTATTAGAAATGTAAAACTTTCATTGCTCTCGTAACTTCTTTTGTATTTAGACTTCTCATTCCAAAAAATGAAAGAGTCCTTTGACGGCCTCTTGGCTACTATGTGCCTTGAAAACCTGTAAAGAAAATCTCGTTGGCCATCTCCATCAAAAAAAGAGTATTGGCTTTTTAAAGCAGTTCTAAAAGTTTCCATGCTTGCAAGGCATTTGCTTCAATTAAAAAGGCCTGAAAGAAACATCCGTCTACTCGACTGAGAGAATACTCGAGTTTCGAGCAGATTCAACAATAGTTAAAAGGTTCTTGTATTGGGGCTCAAATCATGAGACCTAAGCCTGTCTAAAGACATTTGGAGGTATTTAACTCAGATTCAGAATCTTGTTAAAAAGCCGAACTTATTTTGGCGAATCAAAAAAAATTTTGAAAAAGGTTGAAGTACCTTTTATTTCGTTTAAAGAGGCGAATTAAAGGGATTCGTTAGTTGATTCCATCGGAGGCTGTGGGGGTGGCCTTGGAGCTGTAGTTGTACATTTGTGCGAATAGGTCCTCGGTGCATCACCCTGCGCCGGTGGAACCAACTTACGAATCCCTTCCACTCGCCTCTTCAAACGAAATGAAAGGTACTCCAACATAAATCTATTAAGGGATTCTTCAAAACCCAGTTTTTCTACATTTTCGAGAAATGCTTGCGTCTGACTACAAATCTTATTGAAAGTGTTGATTAGTATTGTATCGGGATGCAACTCTAGCCCAGTCTAAACATGAAGCTTTCTGGAAACAAACCTCTATTAGGTCCTGTGTTTATTTGAAGAGACAACCAATGTTCCTATCTCAGCTTGAAACTAAGATCTAATCTTAATCAAGGTTAACTTTGTATGTAACGAAGACGAGAGGCAAGCAAGCGTTTATTTTCCCAAGAATTCTCTCAGCATGCTCACAGCGACCTTAAGAATTGCGGCCTAGGGTCGTTTTAGCAACAAGAAACTACACCACTTAAGTGCAATCTAAGGCAGAATGTAATACAAAAATGTGCAAAATCACAAATAATAATATGAACAAATTAATTTCGCTTGGTCAGAGCGAAATGAACACCTTGCGAAATTTGCCTAGTCCTGCGTCTTCTGTGGACGAATGTTCATGTTAATTTCCAGCATCAGACCGTTGACTTGGCAAATTTCCAGACGTTTCGACAGCATCGTCAGTGAGAGACGCAGGCGAAACGTCTGACAATGTATCAAGTCAACAATCCGATGTTGGTAATCATCTTTATAATTCGAGGGCAGAGGATGCAGGTTTTACTGATCATAGATATGATAGGAATTAACTTGTTTAAAGTAATGAAGGACTGGTAGATGAATTTTCCTAGAAATTATATTTTCAGACTTTATGTTTCCATTGGATTTCACAAAGCCTTACGTCCTGAAAAGTGTTCTTATCCAGACATGAGTTGACTACAGGTTCGACTTCACCTAGACCTTATCGGAACCGGCAGCAGGGTTTGATCTTTTTGAATCTATATCCCGCACAACCTGGGTTCGAGTCTAGCTGGGGTTGCCGATGAGGTCAAGGCTGCAGTCCATTTCCGCCTCGATGAGAGAACATTCTTGGAAGTTAAACTATGTAAAATTGAATGGAAACGTAAACACTACTCATATGATTGCTGGAAAATTCACCCAACAGTCCTAAGACACTTTAAACCAAATTGGGTGAATACATTTCACATGATAAAAGTAGATTGTTGAAAGGCCTTCTGACAACATACCAATCTCCTCGGGCTTCAGTTCTTCTTGTAAGATACTTTTCTGTCTGAGGGTATCCTCGATCGTCATTAATGCCTAAAAGGAAATAGTTTTATTACGCTACTACGATTATTAGGTCAGGTCACTGCAAGTTGGTTAAATGCAAGCTCTACCAAAACAGTTCATACAGATTAGCAGAAAACAGGAAATACATATATTTGAGGTAAACAAATTGTTCGGAAGATGCAGATTAATAAAGTGGTCAAAGATGACTCAAAAATGAGGAATTAAAAGAACCCTGAACAGGATGGGGTTTGACAGATGAAAGGTCGATGCTGAAGTTTCCTCACCATGGCTCATAAGGGGCATGTGGTCCAGAGAGAGGTTGCCGATGAGGACATTTTAAAAGAGCTTAGTCAGCCCAAGTCGCTAAAAGTGATTTAAGAGTTAGAGGTGGAATTTCCCAGAATAAACTGAAGACACTTGCCAATGTCATATAAAATCACTTAGCCTTGTCTCCTAAAAAGGTTTCCTCATCCAAAATTAACCGCAGTTTCAATCTCGATCCGTCATCTCATTATCAAATCCGAAGGACTTCTAACCTGCAATTTACCCCTAAAATAGGAGAGATGGCAGTTGTTGCTTTCATAGCAAGCCAACCATTGTGCAAATCACACTTTTAAAGTAGGATCACAGTTGATGAGGCAAACATGCATCTACCATTACAATAGACGAAGTTACCTAAACTGATTGTGAAAGTGCTTCAATACTTTGAATAATACTTTATGCAGAATAATTTGAGTCAGCCGAGATCACTCGGGGGTATGCAAGTACGGAGATGTGAGTTCTTCCAAAATGAAATGATCAAGCCTCGCGGCGTCACCCCATCATAAGTGAGATTTTAGAGATGCCTAGTTTCGTCTAATACCCAGTGGCATCTCTGGTTGTTTGGAGTGGTGAAGTGTCTTCACGACACACGCAATCCAATCTCGAATCCCGAAAGGGGGGCCACTGACATCTTATGGGGAAAAATCTAATGAATAAGGGATTGGAGGAAGGCAGAGTTAGCGATAACTTTGCCTACTGCTTAAGCAAACCCAGACAAAGCAAAAATACAGCAAGACCAGTAAAAAGGAATATGAGATGTATTCACCCAATTTCGTTTAAGGTGATGAAGGACTGGCAGAAGAAGAATTTTCCCACAA